TATTGTTTTCTACAATGCAAACCAGCAAATACTGATGGCTGGTGATACTTCCGAGCGTCTGATCCACGAAAAGACGGTTTTAAAGCCAATCATAAAAATCTGCGATCCACTTGAAGCGAATGGTGATCGGCAATAAATTTCGCCAAATCGTCTTTGAATTACCGGTGCTTGGAGCTTCAATGTGTCTTTAGATCTGTTCATGCTTGGTGAGCGCAGGGCGGCATTTGTGTTGGTGAGAGCTACAGCAATTTGTTTTTGTTCAACATAATTTTGTAAATAATTGATATATTTAATGGACCTCGAAGCGATTGAACATAAATTACCACTATTGCATTCAACGACAACACGCAGAAGAAGGGAGGGAGAGATTTCTAAATCTTTGATATTTGTTTGTGGTTTTGTATCTTCACAAAGTCAATTAAAAGTAGCTTTAAATCGATTCGTACGTCTGCTCGTTTTGCAAACGTTTTGGTGAGTAGTTGTAGTTGAGTAGAGCAAAACATTGTAACGTCACGCAACATAACCTATTACCGACTCGTTTTGTACCTCTCAAATCAGAAACTCGCGATAAATTCTTTTAGACAATTAATCGCATTTCCTTGTAATAAATTTTGGAGGTTACTGTTAATTTTTGCATCAGCTACAGAGCGAAATCTTTCATAAACACAGGCAAAAACGTGGACACGTTCCGGTAGAATGAGTCAGATAGAACTTTAAGAATGCAATTTCATCCCCATTGTGGCGAACAGTTCGAGGGCTCATTCGTCCTTTTTCAATGTATCTTTCTTCTGGATCATCAACCGACAATGTCTTTGCTTGTGACCTGGTTAATGACAGTGATTTCATATAATCTTCTTCTTTATGCCAGCCGCCTTGAGAACTGCTTGAAAACCACCTGAATGGTGCTGCTTTGCTATCTCGTTGATAAAATATACACTGCAATCGAATCCAACTCAGAGAGTGAGGCACGTTCACTTATTCGTATCCAAATATTTCTAAAAGCGTAGGTCACGCAGCGCTGAGTGACCTTCGCTTTTAGAAATCTCTTCATACGAATGAGTAAAAGTGACTCACTCTCTGAGAAAAATTCGTTTTTAGTGTAGACTTGAGAAAATCGAAAGTGAGGTCATCGTCAGATCTGCTTTCAAGCGCCGTAGTACGTGGATGCAAAGAATCAGACATACATAGAAGCATCATCGCCACCTGTAGATTGCGATTCAATACCTGGACCGCTACCGAAAGTCTCTCTGACAGCTCTTGCATCTATAATGCAGTAAAACAGGGGTCAAATTTATCAGCGGGGTGTAGATGATCACTGAGGTTTTGTTCAGATATAACACTTTTTATGTCGATTGACGTTGAAATAGGATGCATTCTTACAGGTCGTAACAGTAAACAATACTGCACTTGGAGAAAAAGCAATGAGAAATAACAATGATCCAATGCGCCCCCCGCTGACCAAATTGACCCCTATGTGGCTTTCAACGGGTCCTCCCTTAGTTTAGTCGGTAAATACACAGCTATAAAGCAAGATCATGCTGGAGGCGGCTGGGTTTGGTTCCCGGTCCGATCAAGGATTTTTTCGGCTTAAAAATTTCTCGACTTCCCAGGGCTTAGATAGTATGACTGTAGGTTATTTATCCAATAAAATTTAACTTGAAGACGCAATAAGTGAATAAGCACATGTTTTAAATTACTTGCTAATATTATCAACGGTTATAATTCATAAGTCATATTCTTAAACAATACCTCCTCAGTCGTACTATTTTTTATTTTTATTTTAAAATGAGGTTTTTCAATATTTTCTGAACATACAAAAAAAGTAAGAGGTTGTAGCTAAGACACGACGGTAAATTTGATGTAGGGTTATGGGCCCGGTATCAATATTCGGCGATTGTGTTAGGGAAACGGAATTTTCGATTTATTCAACAGATAATAAGAAAAAACGAAAATTGGTTGGAGATTCTTGCTAAAATTTTGAGAATTCAATACTGTTACGCATTTGACCATAAACGCTTGGTTGCTGGTTACTTTATCAAAGAGCTTTGGAGGTGATGTGGCTGGCAGCAAGGCGAGCAAACGTTTAAATAAAATTAACTATTGAACAACAATAATTTATGGTGGACCTGAAAATAACCATTTTGTCGTGATTGTTGAGTAATGATGAGCTATTAAGGTGTTGAATACAGATGAGGGCCTGCAGCCTAATAACCCAGCATCCACCATGAGCATTCAATATAATCTGTTTGATATATCTCGTTGTGGGTTCTGGTACAAATTAAAAGTACGGACCACTTCCCTGAAACACCAGGAACATGTTCCGATGTGATTGATGTGTCCTGGGTACTCAAAATGATCACCAGGTACAAGATTTTTAAAGTTCTTCTGATTTTAACATCAACATCACAGAATTCAGAAGCTCTACCTGTGACATATCGGGTTATAGAATCAATATAACACCACATAGATCATCGACCATAGGAGCCATCAACTTGTAGAAATGTAGACTTATGGCGAGTACAATACATGGGAAAATGAAGGGACTGCAGAATCCATTGAGTTATAGAAAATATCAAGTTATAGAATATCGAGTTGTGGAAAGTTGAATGTAATCAAAAACACGTCTAAATGTAGGCATCAGTTGTTCACATAAAATCATTGTTATGATACTAAATTATTCATTTCAACGAAATCTGATTTCAAATGCAGATTCAACGGCCCAAAATTAAGTAAAATTACTAATTTCGTCAAACATTGCAATGGAATAAATGCTAATTCTGATACGATTTATAGGAACAGTGAAAAGTTGCATAGTTTTTCACTTCCTCAAAATTGCATCGTATTTTAGGGAAAACGTTTCAGAAGCACTATTTAAATATACATAATGAAATACTAATCAAACTACCATGCAATGGATTGCGGAAAAACGAAAATTAAACGGTGTTGTGATCTACTCCACCTTAACACGATGCCTCCGATGAAATGTGCAACGTCAAATTGGCAGTTTCAAATGGCGCCTAAAGAGGATTTGAAAATCGTCAAAAGTTTAGATTGTTTACCGTTTTACGGTATATTTATTTATTAATTTTTGTACAACAGTTCATGATAAGATTTTTTACTAATTTTAAAGATAAACACTGATGGAAATACTGAAAACAAACTCTGTCGTGTGGGATGAACTAGAAACCTATTTTACTCTGTGTATCAATATCAACTTAGTAAATTGTTTGTTTAAAAAAATCGAGGCAGACCAAAGAGTGCATATTGAGTAAGAAGTGGAAGTTAGAATTTTACCTTGCACTTGGTTGTTCATTTAATACTTATTTTTCGAAATCAAATTGTTGGAACCCGTAAACCATTGTGAGTTTATAAAACTTCTTGAAGTGGCAATCACAATCAACGGTAGATTGGAGCCATATTTCCGATCAATTAATGCCACTGTTGTTACTTTTCTATTGTTTGAAAGTCACTATTTGGTCACTGTTTTCGTTATTTTAGTCACTAAAGTCACTACTATTATAGCACATACCCACTTCTAGCATGCAAATGCAATTTACCGGAATATCTCACCCTTCTATAGAGTGCACAGTGCTCCAGATGAACTGCATTGCACTGGATATATTGATTATGGGGCGAAAATTAGATCCAGTAGGTGGCGAAAATTTAAAAGTAGGGGTGATAATTGAAACAAATAAACGTTTAAGAAGTTGCGTTTATTTACATTATTAACCTTTTTTTTCGCTTAAAACACATCAATTAGCTAAAAACGAATGTCATTTCTAAAAACTTTATGGCATAACAATGATTTAGGGTGTCGAATTATAATACTTGCCACACAATAATACCAATGCATAAATGGTACAGGATAAGTAAGTTATCAATTAACAACTGTGGAAATGCTCAAAGCATACTATGTTGAGAGCTGGCGAAAAGTCCCAGTGGGGACGTAATAAATCCAAAATAAGAAAGGTGTAATTCAACATACTGTAATAATTTATTCTATTCACGTAGATAATTTTAATTGAGTACTGAACAATCAGCACAATGGAGTAGTAAAATGATTTTATATTGTAACCTTCAAATGCTTTACTTTCTCAGTCATAAGGAATCACAATTACGACAACTGGCTATTTTAAGTTTGATCGTTTTCGCTCTCTCACATTATATTGTTTTACCTATTTGGTGACACCATCGTCGTGAGTTTGTGCCAACTGTTTTGGGCACCACACGTGATGAAACGTTCTGTCATGCCCAATCTGCTGATAAATTTGAGGCAGGTTCTTTAAAAAAATCCGAGTTGAGTTCAAGTACACACTTTTAACCTGACTCTGATTGAAGACAATTTTCGGGTACCACTTGAAAGTTTAGCTTCTCGAGACTAGCGAGCGAGTGCAACCCATACTCGAGTAAGCTGATGCTATGTCAACCGATGAAACCCCCTCCAAATAACAGTACTGTGTAGCACGGAATGACCGTAAAGAAGTATGATCGTACGATAATTACCGCGCGTAGGCCAGCTCTTTTTGGTGGATTTGTTGCTCAAAGAGTCATTCGGATTGCCATGCCAACATTAATTGAAGCGGCCTCTTCTTCTCCACGCAATTGGGATTAAATTTGAAAGCCTGCATCCAAGAGTAGCAATACGGTGAAGGTTTGCGAAATTCAGAAACAACACCAAAGACGAGCGCTCACGACCAGGTAGTTTGACTGTGATGTTACTTCATGCGGTCGGTGGTGGCTGTTTTGGAGCGAACTCTGTTGATAAGCATCTGAATGCGTGATTGTACAATTATGATTCGGTTTGTTGGTACCAATGTTATCATCTTCAAAAATTTCATAAACCACAGCACTTAACCGTCACTTGAGGATCATCAAAACAGAAAGCACAACGATCAAGCAGAATGAAGTGAAAAAGGTATTCCACTAGACCAACAACAACGATAAGGTGTACAAGTGATTCACCAGTGATGCTGAAATGAATTAGTGTTACATCGATCGCAGAAGCAATAAATTTAGATAAGAAGAAATGTGGCTCGCTCAGATGTCGTTGAATATTTTCCTGATCCTGTTGCTGTTGATGTGCCACGAGAATAAATTTCACCGCTGGAAGGTGGATGCTCAACTCAGTGCGTTCAAACCGACCGTTTTCGACAATTCCGAATGGCGGTTATTCTTTCATCTGTACAGGAACATCACCATGATGATGGCCGGTCGTACGGGATTGAAAACACAAGGCGATTTTCTGCAGACGCCAGTCCCGGACAGTGCCCCTTTCCCCTGTGATACATCGACAGGAAAAAGTCGCGAGCCGCCATCCAGTGTCCACAAGTTGAGACCAGGTAAGCTTTCTTAATTCTTTTATTCTTTCTGAAACTGTCATGAAGGAAATGTTTCTTTTTATTTGGATTATTGCGTCCCCACAGGGACTTTACATCGGCTTTCAATTTTGTGTTCTTTAAGCACTTCTCCACAGTTGCTAATTGAGAGCTTTCTAAGCCTGTACCATTTTTGCATTGGTTTTATTGTGCGGCAAGTGCAATCATACTTTCTAACCCCAGGGAACCCGACAAAATGGTCAATCCGAAAAAATCCTTGACCAGACCGGAGACCGAGCCCAGTTACCTCCAGCATGACCTTGCTTTATAGCTGTGCCTTTATCTACTGAGCTAAAAGAGACCCTAAAGTTTAGACAGGGCAAGTCAATTGATAAAGTCAGTTGAATTCAACTGACTTGAACGCGAATTGAACGTGTAAACCATGCCATTCAACTGACTTTATCAACTCACTTGAATTGAAAAAAGTTGAACCAGGCTCAACTTTTCAAGCCAATTGAATTCAACTGAGTTTATCATTTGACTTGCCTAGTCCAAACCCAGCTTAAGAGAGGATCTAAAAGTATTATTAATTAGTATTGAACTCATTTTACTCTACAATATTAATTCAATTTGCTGCCACATCGGGGTGAATTGGTTGTCTGATTCTTCCGAGGGGGGCAGACTTCACTGGTAGACTGTCGAACCTTCTGTTTCTCTTTTATTTGCTTCGAATGTAAGATGCCCATTAGACTGATGCAAAATTTTAAATTTCCGCTCCACAGTGCTCAAACGGTTCCAAATTGTCAGTTTCAGTTTCATACCAAATGAGTTTAAATTTTGGGAGGCTAATCAGGACCCGATTTGGAACCGTTTGAGTACTGTGGAGCGAACATTTCAAATTGTGCATCAGTCTAATGCCCATCGCACTTTGTTTAGTTCATATTAGCCACCATCGACGGTTGTAGTTTGTAGTCTAAGCATTTAATCGAAGGGTCTTGCTACAACTTCCACAGCAAATTTCCTTTGTGATTGTTAGAGTGGGTCAACTTAACAATCCCCTACTCCCCCAACGGCTCTTTCGATTTGTATTGAGGTCTCCATCAACTGTGCCAAATTTGAACGAATTTGGCTAGGGGGAGCTTTATGTTTTGTTTGGGAAAATGTAGGAGAAACGGTCCGAAACTATAAAAGCATGTTAAAAATAAAATAAAAAATCGCTCAAATTTTACCAAACCTTTGACTTAGATTAAGAAAATTATACTTCACAACTTTGTTCAAGAACGCAAACCGATTCAACTTCTGTGTCAACAGTTATTATTTTGTATTTATGGGCTTGTGTTACTATCTCATACCTACTGGTTACTCGTTCATACCTTCTGCGGTGCTACATAAGCTTGTAGGTATACATGGAGCACCAGGACGACAGTAAAAAAAATATAACTTTTGCACAGAAGTCGAATCGATTTGCGGTCTTCGACGAAGTTGTTGTATATAGTCGGCTCAAGTCCCAGGTTTGTTGAAAATTCAGCATGTTTGGAAATTTTATCAAGCAAATTCATAATTTTGTTCCGTTTCCCTTACATTTTCTCATACAAATTTTAAAGCTCTCTTGTAAATCCAGATGGCAACCAAACTCATTCAAGTTTGGCACAGTTACTGGGAATCCCAATACGAATTTAAAGAGCTGTAGGGAGTTGGGCTTTGTGATCCACCACATAAAGTTGTGGGTTCATCTGGATTTCACCACAGAACATTTTAAAAGTTTCAGCACTTTTCCATAAGTTTTCTTAACTACCGTGAAGTTCATTAACATAACCTTTTGTGTTCCCGAAATTTACTAGAAGTTCACGAAACTAGCTTGACGTTCAAGCAAATTCTCTCAAAATCTCTTAAATTCCCTAGACTATCCTGAAGCTTGCGGTAGTTTTCCTGAACTTTTAGGAAAATACCTGACATTCCCATAATTTAGCATAAATAATTCTCCATATCTTTTCGAATGTCACTGTAATTTTCTTGAAGTTAATGGGACTGTTTTGAAGTTTTGTGATCTAATCCGAAGTACGCGGACCATGCTTTAACATAAACTCATTAACCTTCATTGTAATTAAATTTTCACGGCACTTCTAATGAATTGTTCGGGCAAGGTCGTTAACGTCGAAGTTTCCGATTATATTTCAAAGGCTTTCGGAATGTACCTAAGGTTTGCTGAGCTTCCTTTGCGTTCCTTCAATTCACTCTGAGATTATGGAACTTCCCTGAGGTTTTCAGATCTTTTATGAGGTTCTAGAAATTCTCCTAACGTTCTTGGTACTTTCTTCAAGTTCTCTGGACAGGTCCTGTCCAGCGGTACTTGGAAGACATTTGATCTTGCTGCGGTGTTCGAGGATATTAATGCAGCGAATCCTAACACACTGGTGCTGCGTCCAACCGGAATAATGGCAGCCTCACGGTCCGGATGCTACAATCAGGTGAGCCCACTGGTGTTTGGAATGCTCAAGTCCATAGTTTGAAGAAGTTAAGACTAGGGTTCTGATGCATGGTCATTATTAATTTTGTTGCTAAGGAATCAAAATTTTGACTGGAAATTGCGCACGCCTTTGGAGGGTGTTCTAACTCTTCTTTGTCTTCTGTATTGAAACCGAATACTTCATCATTTCTCAATAGTGATGGAGAAATACAAAATGCACTAAACTAAGGGCACGAGATATACTACAATAGATCAAATTTCTGGTCACAGTGGTGTTATGTCCTGAACAGAGGAAAGAATAAAATAAATTAATTTGTAAAACCTTTGATACCGATATGCTTGAAAACAATCTGACAAGGCTAGCTGACGTTTTGCTTCTTCGTGAATTTTGATCGGTGGAACTTTGGTCACAGAAACAAGCTATTTTTTTTTTAATCCTAATTTAACAAGTTATATGTGTTCATTATTTTTTTTTCTTGATTTGTTTTCCATCGATCTTGTTTTTCGTGCTGAGCACCAATGCTACCGACGCCAGGGAAGCAGCTCTCACACTTGGACCCTACCTATCGACTCATCAACTCATGAACCGGTGACCAACGGCTTTACTTCCCTTCCGAAGGCGTTATCAGAGATGCCTCAGAACATCCCGGTGGCGCCAACTGGGATTGAACCCAGGCCTGCTGGGGTGAGAGATAATCACGCTTACCACTATACCACCGGCGCCGCTGTGTTTATTCTTAGCTTACTTACTTCATAAAAATCAACAAAGGTCGTGAATTTTTCCAAAACTAATGCTGAATTAATGGAGTTGCCCTGAATTTATCTGGAACTACCTTTACATATCTTTCCTGAAAGTCTGGATTTTCCTAATGTTTTTAGAGATTATAACCCGAATAGCATTTGAACTTCCATGAAGTTCCAGGAACTTCTTAAAATTTCACTCATTTTCACTCAATTTTGTTGGACTTCCTTGAAGTTTTCTGAAGTTTCCACAATTAACTATGCTAATTGAACCGCTCTGAAGAGCTCCTTGATTCTCTGAAATTTCCAAAGATTTTCAAACGTTCATTGGAATAGAATATTCCAATTGAAATAGGAACAATAGAGATGGCCCTGGCGCAATCCATTCTTACAACGCCAAAGTCACGAGTTCAAATCTCATACCCGAACAAGTCAAGAATGACTCAATAAAACTATTGGTGAAACAAAAAAAATTTAACGGCGCCGGTGGTGTAGTGGTAAACGTGATTACCTCTCACCCCAGCAGGCCTGGGTTCAATCCCAGTCGGCGCCGCTGGAATGTTCTGAGGCATAACATCTCTGATCACGCCTTCCTTCGGAAGGGAAGTAAAGCCGTTGGTCCCCGGTTCAAGAGTTGATGGGTCGATAGATAGGGTCCAGGTGTGGGAGCTGCCTTCCTGGCACGTCGGTAGCATTGGTGCTCAGCACGGAAAACAAGATCGACGGAAAAAACAAACAAAAACAAAAAAAAAATAAACAAAAACAAAAAAAAAATAATTTCGCAACTTGTTTGTGAAATTTTTCCTGGGCTCTCGGAATTTCCCTACATTATTTGAAACTTCTTTATAGATCCTACATTTTCTTCTAAAGCTTGTGATAATGCACTTAGAATCACACAATTCTCCAGAAGATGTTCCTGGAACCGTCCTAATACAGGGTGTTTGGTTCCGGGTTTTACATATTTTCAGGGTAGATAGGGCTCCTAAAGTTATGAAAAAATCCCCATGAAACATGGGGTCGGAAATGACTGCTAAGTGAGTTATTCAACATTTTATGTTTTTTTTTTTATTTCCAACTTTGGTTAGCTATATTTTTTTAATCTTAATGTGGTTTTCTGATTTCAACATACCAAATGAAAGATTCAAGTCTTAGCTATCAAAGCTCTTTAGTAAAGAACTCGATTAAAGTTAATTATCATACATTAAAATTGAAAAGTATGTTGAAAGTACCAAAAAAACTGGTAATATTTCATACATTTTAGTGTTTTTAAGTTGAAAATTTTCATTTCTGTTTATTTAGTTGTTCTACAAAACATTCTCCATGCAGTTCCCTAGATTTGTGTCTTTTGTAGTAACCTTGTAGGCTTTATGGTTTCTTCGTAATTATTGATTTAAAACAGCCATAAAAACTTGTGACGTTTTCTTAAAATGCGCTATGGTCACCCTATTTGTTCGTACGTTCGGCTGTTGCAGTGGACTACGCACATGAAAATTTGGTAGAATGTTATTGTAAATGTTGAGCTACATTCTTAACTTTCGATTACCCCTCATCTCCTGCGCCAAAAGAAAATATAACTGCGGAGATGTTTCGCGGTATCGAATATTGCTCAGTCTCAGCAGAAAACACAACGAGAGACACCGAATCGACGAATTCTGTGAGCGGAAGGGAGAGAAGTAGGTAGTGGTAATAAGTCGATGTCCTTTTTATTTCATAGCACTCACAGCTCAGCTGCGGTGCTGATTTGATGGAGGAGTTTGCACCTCCGCTGCTTCTGTATACACACTTAGATTATTTTTTTACAGGAGTCAGTATTTTT